TTGATATCTACTTGGACATGCAGTTAGCTGAGTTTATGGCCAGGCCACATTAAGCGCCATTAATGGCCCACACATTTCCGCTTCCGTTGCTCCAAAGCAGGCCAAGAGATTCGTGTTGTGATTTCCTGTAGACATTGTGTTAGCAAGATTTGGTTTCAGACATAAAGTGCAAATGCTTCCACATCGGTGGCAAAAAGATTGAAAAGCGGCCATGTTGCCAATTAGCTCTTGGCGATAAAGCTATATAAATAGATAAACATCTACCTCCATGTACAACACGACTTTATCTGTGTGCCTTTCTTTATTTGTTCAATTTTTATTTCCACTTGTTAAACTGACATTTCACATACATACATCTTTGAGAACAAGTTTTATATCAAAGAACAGTTTAATGCTTATTTTTCAACACTGGAAAACAAATAACTCAAAATCACATTGAAAATAAATTTCCCAAAATCCCGCTATGAACCTATTTACAACATGCAAGGTACTTACTATTAAAATATGAGTTTATCATTCAGTCTGTCAGTCAGTCAATCATTTAGTCAGCTAATCGAGCAAAATAGTTTTATTTATTGGAATAAACCCAACCAAATCCCTTTAATGTCTAGCAACTAAAGCATTTGATATGCATCTGAGAGTAAAGAAAACGAGAGAAATTGATTCCTTTGCTTGCTGAACGCTCGCAACTATTGAATATCATTTAGGTTCAATCAAGTGCAAAACTTGACGATAAACTTTGGCGAACGGCAAACCAACAAATAACTAGGGAAATTGCTAAAGCAAAAGCCGTTAGACACATGCTCTTACATAAATGTTAAATTATAGAGAAATGCTTAGATTAACATATGTTAAATATAGCCAACATTATGTAACTGAACAGCATAGATTAATGTTCAACATTTGTTATACAACTTGACATATTTTACATATTAAAAAATGTTGAGCGATTTTATAAGTGAGAGTATTACATCTGGCACATAAACAGTCGAGGAGCGCTCAAAATTGTTTAAGAAAGCGTGCAAAAAATATGGCAGCCGCGATTTTGATGTGAAAACATAACACACTCACACACGCACACACACACACGTGTATTGATATGCGTGCGTGCACACGCGAAAAAGTAGCGCATAAATTTTGCGATTCTTGAAAGGAGCGAGCGGAAGTGGGGATTCGGGTTTGCGCGAGTGTGGCATGTGCAGCAAAGCGTAGCAACTAAAGATGGCAACTGGGCAAATGGAACACTATTTATTTGGGCATACACACACACACACACACGTGCTGAGACTCTGTAACAGCTGTGACACATTTTATGTGAGCTAAGTAAGTGATAAAGTTCAACTTTGATTTTGCCACTCGCTCAGGCTTGACGCACATTTCTGCCGCACGCCCCGCACATCCCATTGAGGTGCAGCCAACCCAATGTCAATTTTTATGGCAGTGTACAAAAGTCTTTGTCATTGTTGCTGCCATTGTCAAGCGTTTTCGCTTTGTAGCACTGTCCAAACACAGAATAAAACACGCAAAAGCAAAAGTGACAAAGCGCAAAGCTAGGAATTTTATTTGTTACCCGCGCTCCAATACTTAGCTGGAACAGAACTGTCAGAAACTGTTAAATCCAGCTCATGGAAGTCCTTTGACGATATTAAAGTCTGTTCAGTTGCAAACGTTATTCAAAACGTTTCGGCAAATGTTTAAAACTCAACAGCTGCTATTGATGTTAATAAAGGAAATGTTCATTTGCATCTTCGATATTCAAGTATGTTCAGTTACAGGACTTTAATCGAAAATTACTAGAAAATGTAAAAGTTTAACAGCAGCAATTTATGTAACGATAGAAAATCTTCATTTGGATTTGTAACAGTCGGAAAATACTCTGTCTCCTGTAATCTAAATCCTGAAAATTTAACTGCTGTTAATATAGAAAATGTTTGTGTATGAAATCGTCTTCGATGCCAAAAGTAACTATAGAAATGATTGAACAACACATTATTCATAGTTGTATACATTTTGTATGTGTTTATGGAGCTGAATTCGAAATTCGGAACTCGCAACAATTATTTTATGCCGCCTGCCGGCTTGATAAATTTGTGGTAAATTCAATAAAATTGATCCCAGCTGAATGCCAACATTTTCGGGCTTTAAGCAACAAAGCTGCACAATATAAAGCGAAAATAACTCATGCTTTATAATATTTTACTATACTGCTTTATTGATATTTGTTTGTGTTTTATGTATTTCCTTGCTTCCTCGTTTTTTTTTTTTTTTTAATTATTTCCTCACAAAAAGCAATAATAATATGATTCGCTTTCATGTCAGAGCTCAATGGAGTTTCGCGGCATGTGGCATGTGGCATGCGGCAAAGAATTTGCTTCAAATAACATGCATCATGAAAATTTCATAACTTAAACGTCAACTTTCAATAAATATGGCAACAACAACAACAACTCGGCTTACTGCTTTACCTACCATAAAAAAGTAATAAACATACATAAATACATATGCACATACTTTTGTATGCGTGTGTGTGTGTGTGTATATGTAAAAGAAGAAAAAAATTGAATTTTGATATAATAAAGTCAATGAAGAGAAAAATGTTGCGAGGATTTCAATATACAAAAAAAATATTTATGCATATGTGTGACAGGCGGCGGTAGTGTAAAAGAAAAATATTGGAAATTGTGTAAAATGTGTAAAAGTTAATGCGCAGCCAATGGGCGTGGCATAACAGTCATTAGCGTCAGCTCACATTTAAATGCTGCTAATTACAGCAGGCAACAGCATTTGCTGTGCAGAGCAATCCGTTTACTTTTCTGCTGTTCTTTTATGCCTGAAAATCCCACAAAAAATCACAGAAAAAGTGGTTAAATAAAATAATTTTAAAAGTTTTTTTCAGTATAATGTAAATTTTATATTTAAGGTTAGCAAATCATGCGAAAAATTCAACAGAATTTTATGGACTATCGTGAACTAGTTCTGGCAAAAAAAAAATTAAATTGAAAACCCCTTATTGTTTTAACAAAAAAAACCTGTTTATATCTGTTATACAACACTGAGCTTCACTAAAAAAGTATGTTCCTAACATGATAAGCAACATTAATTTGACATTCTGCTACAGAACATTTATTTAGCTACTGTTAAATGTAAGCTGCGAATAAAACACTCAATATTAAAGGAACTAGCTGTGTAATCTGGCTGTAAATTAAATGCCATATCAACATTCTGTTAATGATCATTTAATTAGCATGCTGTAAAATTTAGCTGTTGCTTAGTAAGTAATAGGCTGCCGACTTAACACCAAATGTTAAAGGTGGCAGCTATGAAAACTGGCTGAAAATTAGCTGCATAATATAACAATTACGTTGTATATACACATGATATATAGCACTTCTTTTAACAAGTTTTAATTAAAATGTCGGCACATTGAATCACCAGATACAGCTCAGTTGACAATTAGGAATGTCTTGCCATAAATTTCATTACGCATTGGCTCAAACATTTGCCAACCCACACACAGACACACAGACGGATCATATCGCACATACTCCACGTACGCCCAGATGCAGTCCCAGAATTGTCAACCTGCTAACTAAATGTGCATAATTCTGGCTAGATAAGAAGCCAGCAAATGCAAATTATAAATCCAAATACGCACACACTCAAGTAGTGCCCGAATATATGTATGTGTATGTCATATATTATATGCATATAATTCTGTTAAGCAGACATCTTTCTAGTCTACACATACCCACGCAGCTAATAAGCTGTCTGTGTGACCTATTTGATGGGCAGAGTTTGTCAATGTGCCACAGAAATTTACAAATCTTTGGCTTGGTCAACTTTTGCCTCTTGCAGCTCTATTCCAAATTTATTTAATTAAAACAGCTCCGTTGTTGTTGTTATTTCAACAATTATAAATGATTTATGTAATTTACTTGCCACTCGACTGTGTGTTTGTCTCGCTCTCTCCCATTCGTCTTCCTTTTTCTCTCTCTCTCTCTCTCTCTGTTGTGCTTGCACTCGTCTGGACAACAATTGTGTCTTAACAGCAGTCACTTGCATGGAATTGTTGGCTTTGTTTAGTTGCTTATTAAATAATTCATAGCTCAGCTGACAGCTGAGAAACCTTAGAATGCTTTAATAAGAGTCTTGGCTAGCTTAAAATGATATATAAATAAATTTAAATAGAAGGCAAGACGTGACTGTTGAGTTATCTCAGAAATTTATGATGCGCTGCAAGATTCTGTTAAGCTAACATGTGTCTAACAATTACCAGGACCTTTACGCTTGTCAGTACCTGCTTAATAACAGTGACATTCATGTTAAAAGATCTGCAACGGTATTATGTAATGTAAATAGTCTTAAGTTATTCCAGTTTAGATAAGCAAAAGCATCAACAGGGGAAAGAGTTTGAGTGATATATAAATAGCGACTCAGATACAATCAATAACATTGATGTTCTTTCTAACAGTACACACTTTTAAAATTCATTTTACTCACACACTCACATTAACAGCCACTTAAATCGGTTATTTGCTTGAAACCAATCCCTTAACTTTAATACAATTGAAGTTGTCATGATAAACACATAAATTACATCATCACACTCAGCGGCAGCAGCAGCAGCAGCAGTAAGAATTGGAGAGATGTAAACAAAAAGATACCAAGACTATTTCAACTATTTAATATGCGAAACGCGTCAACAGCTTTTACACACCCCTCAGAAGAGTCACAAATAAAAATGAAAAGTAAATGATTGTCGGTCGCGTCGAATGGAAGGCGTCAAATTGTTGTCGTCTGACAACTTTTTGCGCTTGGTGTAAAATTTCCATTCATTCGTGTCTGGTACGTGATAATTGCATACTTTTCACAGGCATTACATTTCGAAGTACCAAACCGCTCTCGAAACTTTTCGCTGACTTGATGACTTCAAATTAAGCAAGAATCTCACTGAAAATAATGTTAAATTTCTGATCCTTTCCACAAAAAAAAACAAACAGTCACCAAATTCATACGCATTGGCATTGCCGATAAGAACGATAATCCACCCTATTTCGACAAATCGCTCTACGAGGCGGAAGTGGATGAGAATGAGGATATACAGCACACTGTGCTGACAGTCACGGCCAAGGATCACGATGAATGTAAGTAGTATGCCAACACACACAACATATTTCGCATAGAACACATTTTTTGGCTGACTAATACGAATTGCTAACAATTATTTTCCAGCCTCACGTATACGCTATGAAATCACCAGCGGCAACATTGGCGGCGCTTTTGCTGTTAAAAATATGACGGGTGCCATTTATGTGGCCGGCGCTTTGGACTACGAGACGCGACGCAGGGTAAGTTTAACATACATATTTATACATATATATATTTTTATATATACATATATAATTGATGTACGCAAGGGTTCAGTCAATTGTAAAATTTGTTTGTGTCGCATTAAATAAATTGAACTCCTGCCGGGTTCTTGACTCAGTGGAAACTCCTGTTAAACCCAAAAACTGTTATATTCATATAACATGAGCATAACTGGCACATAAATAAGCCCAGTAGAACACACAACTGTTATATGCATAAAAATAAATCATAACTGGCATACAAATTCGCCCTAAAGAACACAAACAGGTATATGCATATAACATGGACATAACTGGCCTCCAAAATAAGCCAAGTAGAACACAGAAACTATTATATTCATATAACTTAAGCCTAACTGGAATACGATATTCGCCCAGTAGAACACACAAACTGTTATATGCATATAACATTAGCATAACTAGCATATAAATAATGTATGTGCTCTGAGCAATGAAACTTTACGAGTAACTTTCATTGATTGGCTACAAACTTAAAATCAGGTTAATTGTATATTTAGCTTGTGCAATCAATTTAGCAATTCAATATGTAAGCAAGATCTGAGCGACTATAAAATTCATTAAGAAACTGTGAAGCAAGTGCAATTCCCACTGAATTTCATTATGTGCAGCAGCTGCGAGCCGCGAGCCTAGTTAAATATTTAAACAAGTTTAGTTACACGCTGTGGTCAAAAGCGGAAAGGACAAAAGGCGCACGAAGTGTATAAAGCTTGATAGAATTGAAGAAAGTCAGGCGAAACATTAATTGAATTTCAATTTGAACAATTGGCCAATGTGCTGGCAAGTTTCGCCAGAAGTTTAATTGAATTGAAAGGCAGACGGAAAAGACCCAAAGAGAGAGAGAGAGACTGAAAAGGAGGGATTTTATACAATGCAGAAAATACTTATAGTATGCAAATGAATATTTAATGCCGGCTCTGGCAACAAATTAAAATTAATTATTTAATGACATTTAATTAACAAAATATTTGTCAAACAGTATGAGCTGCGTTTGGCTGCCTCCGATAATTTGAAGGAAAACTATACGACGGTCATCATACATGTCAAGGATGTTAATGACAATCCGCCCGTGTTTGAGCGACCCACATATCGCACACAAATTACCGAAGAGGATGATCGTAATTTGCCCAAGCGTGTTTTACAGGTCATTAAACAAAAAAAACAACAGATACAAATCGAACTTAGAGATTTGTCAAAATTAGTTGACATTAGTTGTGTTTGTCATGAGTTTGTTTTTAGCTTTTCTTTTGTAGCGCTTTTTCAACATGTTTCCCAATGCATATGTATATGAAGCATACGCCACGTTGTCCCCCCACCAATATTATCTTAGATTTTAATGCATGTCATGCGTTTATTTTTCTTTGCCTGAAAAATTCCACTTTTATTTTTGTTTAAATTGTTGCAATCAAATAAATAAATAAACAAAAAGTCAATATCTTTTCATGACTGACAACGCTAGTTAAGTCAATAAATATATTTGAGTTAATGGCATTTCAATTATCGACGCAAAGCAAATATTTATTTCAATTCTCTACATTAAGTTAAGGCTTAAATACTTTTAACGGACTTTTTTTTATATTTCTGTACGCTCACTTTTGGTATTAAAAAAGTGTTTTTTAAGCACACTTTTGTTCAGTAGTTTTTTACGTTCAACTTTACGTATTTGCTTTGAAGTGTTTTTCTATACCTGACTTTTTAAATTAATGCAGTGAGATTATTCCACTTCTGTTTAAAAAAATATATGTAAAAAAAGCGATTTGCTGATAGTTTGTGCAAAAATGCAAACTAAAGTGTTAAAAAAAATGGAATCAGACAAACTAAGAATAATATGTTGATAAGTCATTAAGCACGCGCAGCTAATTATAAAACAAAAAGTCGATATAAAAAAGTTTGTTTAAAACATAGTTTAACAAATATAAATGATTAAAGAGGCATGCAAACCATGTGAACGAGCTGATGAACATGTCACGGATTATAATAGACTGTGCGACACACACATGAATATCGAAAAAGAAAAACCCATATACATGATATATAGAAACCATATAAGGGACATTTGTATATGAAGTCGGACACACACATATATTTTATTTAAACTTCATTTTTATCAAGCATATAGCTTATTTTTAATTTATTTTATATTATGTATAACGTTTTTTAAATTTGTACTTGATTGTTATTTATATTTGTTTTTCCTTTTGGCTATTTGTTTTTTTCTTTTTCTTATTTATGGCTTTATTTATTGTTAACGCACATGGACCCAACATTTGTTCTTGTTGTTGTTGTTGGTTTTTATTTGGGTTTTACGTGTGCGTTAGTACGAGCTGAAATTGGTCGCCTCGGATAGTTTAAATGAAAATCAAACAACAATCGTTATAAGTGTGCGCGATGTCAACGATCTGCCGCCGGTTTTTCCACAAACTTTATACGAGCGCAGCCTCAACGAGGAAATGGCTACGCCCTTTACCATTATGCAGGTCGCTATTTCGTTTTCACAATTATTCCATACAAAAACGTATAAATATGTATATAAACACACAATATATCGTATCGTATGTTATATTATGTCGTTTTGTAAATACCTTAAACATATACTATATACATGTACACTGAGAGAAAAGCTTATGCCGGTGAAAGAATAACAGTTTGGTTGTGATATAAAATTATTAGTTAAAGTAGTAAGTAACAGAAAAAAAAAGGCATAGAGGGTTTAACAAGTTCTTGAATTTACTTATGTACTTAATTTAAGCTTCAAATGCTTGGATTCTCTCAGTGTACATGCTGTATAATAACATGTGTGTATAATAATAGCTCAGTTCTCATTAAACTATTAATTTAATATGACAACAACAAAAGCTCATCGTAATCATTTCGCCCTCTTATAAATTATATTAAAATAACAATAACACACACACACACACACGTCTGTATAATAAATTTAATAAATAGCCTGTGCTGGTTGGTAAAAGGTGTATAATTTAATTAAACTTAAACTATGAACAAACGAAACGAAATGAAAACTGAAAGGAAATCTCATTGGCAAATGCTATTTCTTATTTGTTGTTAAGACCAGTTGCAATTTCAATTATTATTAAACATTTTGTTGATTCGAGAAACGTATATTTTCGCCTGAGCATTAAATTTGATATAATTGCTGCTTTATATCAAATATTATTTCATTTAATTTGTACTATGTGTGCCGTATTTAATTTCCATTTAAAAATATTATTTTTATGAATTGGCGAAATGTGAGCTCAAGAGATTTCAGAAAAATGTTTACTGTGCGTTTGTTGTTTGTGGTCGGCCTTTAAATGCATGCATAAATATTTTCAATACTTTGACAATTTATTTACACTCACACACACAGTAGCAGCTGCTAATTAAATTTAGTTGTTTAATTTTTAATGCAACAAATGTATGCGCTTAAATCTTTGCATGGTTATATTTACAGTTTTTAGTGATTTTTATTGTGGTTTTATTAGCTTGTGCTTAACTAACCTTTGGTTTTATCCATTTAACTAATTTAATAAAATAATTGCATATTAAAAAATTAATAACAGCTATGAAAAGCACTCATAATTAATATGTCATGTGCTGGGATTTATTAATTGGCAACACTTAAAAAGTGAAAATTTTGTAAAGTATGGCAACCCAGCTAAAACGCCACCTGGCGCACTGTTAAGCCAACGCATGTTAAGTGCTCTAAAACACCCAAAATTATTGTTATATTCAATTTCCTCTTTACTCTTGAAGAGTTTACTTTTTGCATGCACTCCATTCTATTGCCTTTTAGTTTTTATTCTGCGGTTGGATTTTAATATTATTTTTAAGCGCTGCACTTGTGTTTATCTTTTGTTGATTTACACAAACAGAGGGAAAATCCAAACTAATATTGTAATATTTATGTTTATTTTCCACTGCACCGCATCGGGCCACAGGTCACCGCCACAGATGGCGACAAGGATCGTCCGCAGAACATTGTTTATTTTCTAACCGGCCAAGGCATAGATCCCGATAATCCAGCGAATAGTAAATTCGACATAAATCGCACAACAGGAGAAATATTCGTGCTTAAGGTAAGTGTACAAAAAACATTAACAAAAGTAATAATAAATCGAGGACATTCTTAAATCAACACAACTGCAATTGAAGCATTAACAAAATGTCACCAAAACCGCAACGAGCATGCCGATAATATGTCTACATAAAAAAATACGAATGCGCACGACTAGCAGACACCCTCGGCATAAAATACAATGCACAAGCTTCAAAGACGAGGTTTTCTTAAAGAATGCAGAGAATTGTCTTCTTAAGTTAAAAAGTATTTCGACTTTTAAGTCAAGTATTTCGCGGCTAAGGTATATCTACTGAATGCAACAACCAGTATACCCACTTTGAGTGCATACGGGGTATTGAGAACAGTGCTTAAAAACTGCGGCCCGTGGCCACATTGGAATACACAGCTGTTGTGGCCGGCGGCAACTGAAAATGATTGCGCAATATGCGCTCTGATTAAGCTCCATCAATGCACACTTAATCCCCAGACAGCTGCGGTGGCCCCCTGCATAAGAACGCCAGCCAGAACCATTCTTAACGCAACTGGGAACGCGCGAAACTCATTATTTAACATTTAAGTTTTTATGGGGCGACGAATTGTGGGCGCTTTTGTGGCAACGCATTTAAATCAATGCGCATATAGTTGTATTGATTTATGAAGGTGTTGCATTAAAACAAAAAAGAGTGCCCACTCTTGTTTTTATTTGCTGCGCAAAATGTTTTTTAATTGCGTGAGTCGCACATGAAGTGAATGAAATGGTGATATTTAATAAAGTTTGAGCAAGTCAGTTAACTGAAAAGAGTTATCGACGTATCGAGGGGACTTCTAAGTGTTCTTAAGCTTGAGTTTTATATGTGCTTCAATGTGATGCATTTTAAAATGCATTCGAAGTGCAGTTGACATAAACATTAACACTTATATGTTACTGTTAACTGTTAACTAACAGCAAGATATGTTGCAGGTTAATCAACAGGAGGTAGAAATGAAGAGCTAGCTTAACAGTATCAATCATTACAGAGCTGTGCTACATGTTATCATTGAGTATATTTAGCATAGTGGGGTATATTGTGGTAGTTAACAACAATCAGCCTAGGATCATTACAGAGCTAGAAGAAAGTTAAACAGTTTTTGTAGCACTTCAATAAATTCCAAATGAGATAATATTAACATTGTAATTTTACTGCTATTAAGTGTAAGCTGTCGTTATATAACATAATGTTAGCAAACACTACAGAAATTGTTACTATAATGTTAAGAAGTTTTTGCAATACAACTTCAAATATGCAAATATGCTTATTAAATATTTCAAAAAAAATCGCTAACAGCACAAAAACTGCGTAAGCCATTATTAAAAACTGCAGAGCCATGAGAATTAAAATAAATATCTCATAAAAGCTAACAAAAATAAAAATATAAATAAAAACGTACAGTGGAAAACCCAGCAAAAACACTTGAAAAAAATTGTATATTTTTTATTTACTTTTGACCATTAATGAAGTAAAATTGTATCAAAAATTGCAGCTAAAAGCACAAAAACTTTTGTGGTTAAAACAATAATGCGCGTGCTGTAGTAAAGAAAAATAGGGGAGCATAGGGAGATGTACATGACGGCAGGGGGAAAGCAAACTCATACAATCCGCACACACACACACACACACATATACGCGCTCGTAGTCCAACTAATCCCTTAAATTGAATATGTCATAACAATGCTGTCAAATTTGTCATGCAAATTAAAGCGATGACGACGCATGAGGACTGTGTATTTTTTTTGTTTGCCTCTTTCAATTTTTTACAACTAATCCAATGTCAGCGCTATGAAAAGCTGCTCCTGTTACTGCATGTCCTGCTGTTATTGTTGTACTTGTTACGTTACGTTGTGGCTGTCATGCCAGAACCTGGTCCAGGAGGTTTTTTTTCGGGCATACACTCGGCTGTAGATTGTCGGTATCCAGGGGATGGCTGCTGCGTAACAGCATGAGCCAAGAGAGATACAAAAGTGCTGATTAAAATCGTTTTTTCTGCACTTGTTATTATAAAAAGGTGGCCTTAACCCGCCCCCTTGAACCAGGTGAGGTTTGAGGTTCGGATGGCGTTGGGTAATGGCTGCCGGATTGCCGGAGCTTCACAGCACATCACTCAAGCCAGCCTCTGTATGCATATCAAAGTCAAAATCAGCACCAGGGACAGGCGACCCACAGCTCAGCACAGCTGTGGGCGCTTCCATTGTGAATGGATAATTTTACAGGGTTACGTACACACACACAAAAACACACAGACACAGGGAGTTTTACGGGAGCTTCATTAAGTTGCACTTGTGCGTTTTCATATATTTGAGGGTAGCTGGGCAAGTGGTCTTGCACTCGAAGAAATTTATTTAAAATTGTGCGTACTCAAATTAAGTCGAAATTTCGTACCTTAACCTTTTTTCCTATTATCAAACGCCTGAAAAAATAGACTTAAATTTGGTACTTAAACCAAAAACTTGAGACGTTTTTGAGTATACAAGTTCTTGAAAAAAGTGTACTTTATTGTGTTTTTTCTTTTAATTTCATAAACTAGTCGTCTAGTCGAAATAATTTATTCCAAGCAAAGCAAAACATAATTTTCAAACTGCTTTTGATTTTTCTAAGTGTAGGACTTGGCTATGTGCGCCAACAATGTTTACACTGATGTTAATCGGTTTTGCGGTTATGACAGCTAAAATTACACAACAGCCAGCTCAAACATGTTAACTCCCTTCTGTTCTAGCTGAATTCATATATACACAGTATTTATCTAATATCTCTCTCTCTTTAACCCACCCTTTCCCCTTCAGCCGCTGGATCGCGATCAACCGAATGGACGACCACAGTGGCGTTTCACCGTCTTTGCTCAGGATGAGGGCGGCGAGGGTCTTGTGGGCTATGCGGATGTTCAGGTTAATCTGAAGGATATCAACGACAATGCGCCCATTTTCCCGCAGGGCGTTTACTTTGGCAATGTTACGGAAAATGGCACCGCCGGCATGGTGGTCATGACCATGACAGCTGTCGACTACGACGATCCCAATGAGGGTTCGAATGCGCGTTTGGTCTACTCGATCGAGAAGAATGTAATTGAGGAGGAGACGGGTTCGCCCATTTTTGAAATAGAACCGGACACGGGCGTAATAAAGACAGCTGTTTGTTGTTTGGATCGTGAGCGTACGCCGGATTATTCGATACAAGTGGTTGCAATGGATGGCGGGGGGTTAAAGGGCACGGGCACGGCGTCTATACGTGTCAAGGATATTAATGACATGCCGCCGCAGTTCACCAAGGACGAATGGTTTACGGAGGTGGACGAAACGGATGGCACCGCCCTGCCCGAAATGCCCATACTGACAGTGACAGTGCACGACGAGGACGAAACGAACAAGTTCCAATACAAAGTTATCGATAACAGCGGCTACGGCGCCGATAAGTTTACAATGGTGCGCAACAATGATGGCACCGGCTCACTGAAGATTGTCCAACCGCTGGACTATGAGGATCAGCTGCAGAGCAACGGCTTCCGCTTTCGCATACAGGTGAACGATAAGGGCGAGGACAACGATAACGATAAATATCATGTGGCCTACTCCTGGGTGGTGGTCAAGCTGCGCGATATCAACGATAACAAGCCGCACTTTGAGCGCGCCAACGTTGAGGTGTCCGTGTTCGAGGACACCAAAGTGGGCACCGAACTGGAGAGATTCAAGGCCACCGATCCGGATCAGGGCGGCAAGAGCAAGGTCTCCTATTCGATAGATCGCTCCTCGGATCGCCAGCGTCAGTTTGCCATCAATCAGAATGGCTCGGTCACCATACAACGTTCGCTGGATCGTGAGGTTGTGCCGCGGCATCAGGTCAAGATTTTGGCCATCGACGATGGTTCACCACCGAAAACAGCAACAGCTACGCTGACGGTCATTGTGCAGGATATCAACGACAATGCGCCCAAGTTCCTCAAGGATTACAGACCCGTGCTGCCGGAGCATGTGCCGCCACGTAAAGTTGTCGAAATTCTGGCCACCGATGACGATGATCGCTCCAAGAGCAATGGACCACCCTTCCAATTCCGTTTGGATCCCAGCGCTGATGATATTATACGCGCCTCCTTCAAGGTTGAACAGGATCAAAGTGAGTACAGTTTTTATTCACTTATAGAGATGGGTTGGGTATTTGATGTTAGAGCGCAGAAGAATTTTTAAAGATTGCTATGTTGCAAATGAATGCTAGTTAAGTGTAGCAAGAGTCGCAATTGTATGCCTTTTTTATTTAAATAACAGTTCACAGCACTAAAATTTGCCTCAACTGTATATGTCCATTGGCAACACTTAACTGTTTTAATAATTGTTCAATAGGATAGTTCCAAGTTATTAATTTGCCGAGTTAACAAAATTTCAACCATTGCAGCGGTTGCTTGGCGAAATATAAATGAAGTACCTTTAGCGCAATACAAATGTCGCTTCACAACACTTAACTTTTATAAGTAGAGATATTTTTTCTTAATAAAAAATAGTCAATTGATTTCTTTCATGGGCAATGAGAATTTTGAAAAAGTATGCCAAAACTCAAATAAACATATTAAATAATTGTGTCGCTTTTCAACACTAAAGTGTTAGTTAGTGCCAGTGTGCATAGACACCATTTATTTCTAAATGTTTTAATTTTTTATTTGACTTCAAAATAATAAAAGTATTTTGGGCATTTGTTTAGCTATTTTCTAAATATAAGCGCAGCAAATGGCAAATGATGGCCAAAAGAGAGAGAGCTGAGAGTTGACCCCAAGTGGCGATGTGCAATGCATAAAAGTTAGCCAAATATTTGGGTCAAAGTTTGAACAATGCGAAAGTGCAACATTTTCTACAGCAATTGTTCTTGTTGTTTTCCATACAAACTATGCACAATAATATTGCCTTTTGAACGGATATGTCGAATTTAGAGCTCGCATTCGAATTCGAATTGGCTGTCACAATGTGTGGCAAAGCCAAAGCATAAAAATGCAATTACCTCGCATATAAATGAAATGAATAGCATCAAGCATTGGGCTATAAAACGGGTAATAGCAAACCGCAGCAGCACACACAATGTGAAAATTTAAATTAAGTAAGCCAGAGCAAAGATACACACCACACACACACACACACTAAGTCGCACACACACACCTGTCCACTCAAATAATAAAATAGAAAAATGCACAAGTTTTCAATTAAATTATTCCCACATGAAAAAAAATAGTTGAGTCTCCAGCCAGGACGCTCGCTCGGGCTCCGGCCAAGTGAAAAGCATTTGGATACAAGCTCAGTTTGGTGCTACAAGCTGCCACTGAGACGACGACTGTGTGTGTGAGTGTGTGTGTGTGTGGGAGTGTGTGGTGTGTGTCTGTGTGTATATGGATAGTACGGGTTGCTATCCATTTTTAATGCGCGCCAACGGGGAGTCGAAAAAGTTTTGCGCCTGTGGCTTGGCTTTGTAAGTGTGTGTGGGTATGTATGTGGGTGTGTGTGGTGGTGTATGTGTGTGTGTGTGTATTGGCCTTGTCGACTCCAGCGTATTTGCATACAATTTGCCTAAAAACACACCACGGAGTGTCTTTAAAAATACATTTGAAATGTGTTTTGCCCAACCCCCTCCCGCAAAGCAGCAGAACAATCCGAATGGTAATAGTAGAACCTTGGGTGGGGGAGGGGGGCGCTGGGGTGCATAGGCGTGCCAAGTGGTAAGTCGGATTAGCAATGACATTTGTTGTATGCATGCGGCTGGAATATGTGCATGTACGAGTTAGTCCTAACACTTGTTGGCCCGCCAGGCGTAATTACAACAAATGGGCAAAAACACACAAAATTGTCGGAAAAGCTGCCTTCCAAAGTTGTTTCTACTGTGCAATCAGCCGGAAACGTGTAGACTAATAAAGGTGCTTAGCTTGTGAGGTTGAGCTCTGTCTGGTTGACAGCAAACTCTATACGTGCCTTCGGCCCTTTCCCCTGCACAATTAACTAGAAAATGCTTTTAAGAGCTTAGCAATAAAACTAAATTTGTCACAGCAGATTTATCCTAATATTATCCAACAGTTGTACACAGCATTCGAATAATGTGTTGACATATTAATTACGTTAATGTGCTTTCTAATTAACTACTAATTAAATGTTATTAAAATTAAAATTGATATTGGAAAATGTTGAAAGTTAAAATCATAAAATTGAGATTTTATATCATATACAAGAAGCCAAACCTTATGAGAATCGGATGAGATTTTACCAAGTTATGGGGGTGGGAAATTTTGATCTCTGTCCATATAAGATATTTAAGGGTCCATTTTTACATGAATTTTGAGCAAGAATAATATTGTCAGAATTAGATGCCAAATTGATTTTGAGGTCAAAACATAAACAAAAAGCCAAACATCGTGAAAATCTGATGAGATTTGACCGAGTTATGGGCGTGGGAAATTTTAACCCATGTCTATATAAGATTGCTAGGGGTAAGATTTTGACATGAATTTCGACCCAAATATGTGTGGTCAGATTTAAATGCCAGATTATTTTAGAGGGAAAATCATGAACGAAAAGCCAATCCTCGTAAAAATTGGTTGAGTTTTGACCCAGTTATAGTAGTGGGAAATTTTGACCTATGATAGGATAAAAGAGTGTACATCCCGGCCTTGCCCGTGGCACGTTTAAAATAAATTCTCTGAACATTTTTTGAAAATGAGTTTTAAACCGGTCGGACGGTAAACAAAAATCTTTCATACACATTTTTATCGCGATTTTTCCAGAGATTTAAGTCAATTAAGAAAATTGGACAAGTTAGGATCAGATATGTTCATCAACTCGACGGGGCATTGAACAACACTTTAAATAACTTTTGTGATTGATTTTTCTTATATATTTTAAAAATTTCTGTCTATTCCCTTGCCCATCCACAGAGGGTGCCAATGGTGATGGCATGGCGGTGATATCGTCACTGCGCTCCTTTGATCGGGAGCAGCAGAAGGAGTATATGATACCCATTGTGATCAAGGATCATGGCTCGCCGGCAATGACAGGCACCAGTACGCTGACGGTGATCATTGGCGATGTGAACGACAACAAGATGCAGCCGGGCTCGAAGGATATATTCGTGTACAACTATCAGGGTCAGTCGCCGGATACACCAATTGGACGTGTCTATGTTTACGATCTGGACGATTGGGATTTGCCCGACAAGAAGTTCTATTGGGAGGCGCAGGAGCATCCACGCTTCAAGCTGGACGAGGACTCCGGCATGGTGACAATGCGCGCGGGCACACGCGAGGGTCGCTACCATCTGCGCTTCAAGGTCTACGATCGGAAGCACACCCAGACGGATGTGCCGGCCAATGTGACCGTTATGGTGCGTGAGATACCACACGAGGCGGTCATCAATTCTGGTTCGGTGCGTCTCTCGGGCATCTCCGATGAGGATTTTATACGCGTATGGAATTATCGCACACAGAGCCTCAGTCGCTCCAAGCTGGATCGCTTTAGGGATAAATTGGCGGATCTATTGAATACGGAACGCGAGAATGTCGATATATTTAGCGTGCAACTAAAGCGTCGCAACCCCCCACTGACCGATGTACGGTTCTCGGCGCACGGTTCACCCTATTACAAGCCGGTCCGACTCAATGGCATTGTGCTGATGCATCGCGAGGAGATCGAAAAGGATGTGGGCATCAATATCACAATGGTGGGCATCGATGAGTGCCTGTACGAGAATCAAATGTGCGAGGGCAGCTGCACCAATGCCCTCGAGATTAGCCCCCTGCCCTATATGGTGAATGCGAATAAGACGGCGCTGGTTGGCGTCCGCGTGGACACCTTGGCCGATTGCACCTGTGGTGCACGGAATTTCACCAAGCCCGAATCATGCCGTACCACGCCCTGTCACAACGGCGGCCGTTGTGTGGACACACGCTTCGGACCGCACTGCTCCTGCCCGGCGGGCTATACGGGTCCGCGCTGCCAGCAGACAACGCGCAGCTTCCGCGGCAACGGATGGGCCTGGTATCCGCCGCTGGAAATGTGCGACGAGTCCCATCTGAGCCTGGAGTTTATAACACGCAAGCCGGATGGCTTGATTATCTACAACGGACCCATTGTGCCGCCCGAGCGCGACGAGATGCTCATCTCAGATTTTGTGGCACTGGAACTGGAGCGTGGCTATCCCCGGCTGCTCATAGACTTTGGCTCGGGCACACTGGAGCTGCGCGTGAAGACCAAGAAAACGCTCGACGACGGCGAATGGCATCGCATTGATTTGTTCTGGGATACGGAGAGTGTGCGCATGGTTGTTGACTTTTGCAAATCGGCCGAGATAAGCGAAATGGAGGACGGCACTCCGCCCGAATTCGATGATACCTCGTGTCAGGCACGCGGCCAGATACCGCCCTTCAATGAGTACTTGAATGTGAACGCACCGCTGCAGGTGGGCGGCCTCTATAGGGAGCAGTTCGAGCAATCTCTCTACTTCTGGCACTATATGCCCACGGCGAAGGGTTTCGATGGCTGCATACGGAACCTGGTGCACAACTCCAAGCTGTATGATCTGGCGCATCCGGGCCTGTCGCGCAACAGCGTCGCCGGCTGCCCACAGACGGAGGAGGTGTGCGCCCAAACGGAGGCAACGGCACGCTGCTGGGAGCATGGCAATTGCGTTGGCTCCCTCTCAGAGGCGCGCTGCCATTGTCGACCCGGCTGGACGGGCCCCGCCTGCAATATACCCACTGTGCCCACCACCTTCAAGGCGCAGAGCTATGTCAAATATGCGCTGAGCTTTGAGCCCGATCGCTTTAGCACCCAGGTGCAGCTGCGTTTCCGTACACGCGAGGAGCACGGCGAACTGTTCCGGGTTAGCGATCAGCACAATCGAGAATACGGCATATTGGAGATAAAGGATGCACGTCTTCACTTCCGCTACAATCTCAACTCGCTGCGCACCGAGGAGAAGGACCTTTGGCTCAATTCGGTGGCCGTCAACGATGGCCAATGGCATGTGGTGCGCATCAATCGTTATGGCTCGGCGGCCACCTTGGAACTGGATGGCGGCGAGGGCAGGCGTTACAATGAGTCGTTCGAGTTTGTGGGGCATCAGTGGCTGTTGGTCGACAAACAGGAGGGTGTCTATGCGGGCGGCAAGGCCGAATATACGGGCGTGCGCACATTCGAAGTGTATGCGGACTATCAGAAGAGCTGTCTGGATGATATACGGTGCGTATGCTTAATTGCTTTTTTTATTTATGAATTTCAATATTGTTTATATTTCCTCTGTTATTTGGAAATTTTTTTTTTGCCCACTAAATAACTTTATATTTTTTTATTTATTTTTTTTCCAGTCTGGAGGGCAAACACCTGCCCCTGCCACCCGCCATGAATGGCACACAGTGGGGCCAGGCAACAATGGCGCGTAATTTGGAAAAAGGTTGCCCCTCCAATAAGCCATGCTCGAATGTCATTTGCCCCGATCCCTTCGAGTGTGTGGATCTTTGGAATGTCTATGAGTGCACGTAAGTGTTGCCATTAGTTGAATTCAACTTTTATTTACATTCCACACATTCATGTATTGCTCTTTCGTTTCTCATAATGAAAACGTTTATAATAAAAAAGAAGCAAAACCTAAAAAAATGACAGGACTGTGGACAAAAGAAAAAGACTCAAAAAATACCTTAAACAAAACTATTAAATTTATAAACACACAAGGGTCGTAGCATAAAATTTAACAATTTAGCAACACACAAAACGAGTGTTGAAAAATACCAAGCGCACAAAAAGTATTTCATGCCGCAGAATCGGCATTGAACATTTGATAGGCTTAATCAATTAGAGGCTGCGACAAAAAATAAAATAAGTAAAAGATGAAAGCAGTGAAAATCGAAATTGTGCCGCGTCACCGGCAGCTTACGGTGTATGTCAATCAACTGACGTTGCCAGCCTGTTGAGCTGCCTCGTCCTGGTCCAGGAGACACACAAACCGAGTTAGTCGCTGCCCACGTGTTGGGGCAGTTAACGTTGCGTAACGAATCAATCGGATTAGGTTTAAGGGCAGGCACAAATCGATATGCTCTTGTCTCCATCACCTGAACGCAACTGTACATATTCACGCTTTTTCACCAGGCACAAGCTTAAACAGACACACACACACACAGTAGCAAAAAAATATGTATGTATATTTGTGGCGTTTGACAACACCCATCACGCGTGGCGGTACTTGTGCTTAGTTGCCCTCCACATTTCTGTGCGTTCAGCATTTGTCACCGGTTAACATCAATCGGTTAAAAGGTTATATACTATAACCCAACTGGTTTCACACTGAAATGTATTTAACAGTGCTTAATTGGTTTTCACTTTTCTGTTTGCCTAAAAGCTTTTTCGAAACGTTTGAGAGCCACTGTTTACAGCTGAACTTTGTTTAAATAATCTTTTAAAACGGTTAACAGGAAGTTACAGGGAAGTAAATGTTACCACATTGGCATATTGACGGATAAGCCCTAAATAAACAATCGGTTAATCGGGTATGGACTGAAAGCCAGCCAGACTTACACCAAACATAGCTTTACAAATTATAGCTTAACCAAATTGGCCCCTACATTGGACTTATATTTGCATTAACCAAACGGTTAACAGTTATCGGTTTGACGTATGACCTCTAAACAGCAATCGGTTAAACGTTTATGGACTGAAAGTCAGCTAAACTCACATCAGATATAAGATTTTACCAAAAAGTTAATATCTATCGGTTTGGCGGCTAACCCCTTTACAGTAATCGGTTACACAGTTAGACTTACATCAGACATAGCTTAACTTTTTCGTTTGCTAAGAGTTTAACAGCAATCGGTAAATGGACATACATGAGACCTAACCCAACATTAGCCCACACTTATGCGAATTATTTTAGTTTCTGTTGCCCATTATTCACACTTAGTTGCCCTAAACAAAGATATAACAGAATTATGTTAACTTACATACACATTTCGATATCGAATGCGAATTTTAAATATAAAAAACTAGTTGCGGCGAGGGACGCATCATGTCGCCCGATTCAAAGGGCTGCATGGATCGCAACGAATGCCTCGATATGCCCTGTATGAACGGCGCCACGTGCATTAATCTCGAGCCGCGTCTGCGTTATCGCTGCATTTGCCCCGATGGCTTCTGGGGCGAGAGCTGTGAGCTGGTGCAGGAGGGTCAGACCCTCAAGCTGAGCATGGGCGCCCTGGCGGCCATACTCGTTTGCCTGCTGATCATACTGAGTGAGCAAATAAAACCAATTCCAAATCAAAAATATATATCTGTATATATATATCTAGCTTAATATGCAACAACGAACAGACCATTTAATATTATATAAAGTGAGCAACTAGTGCTTTAGCGCCTGCCTTTAGTTTAGTTACCGTTTACCATTTAATCTGTCATTTTATTAGCTGTTCACAATGCAACTCAATCATGCATATATATACCTATATCCTACATCATTTCATATACGGGCTTTTCATTTGAGTTTTTCATTTGTAAGCCTGCCTTGTCCCCCCGCACATACACACACACACACACACACACAATTTAGTTACCCAGCATTTTTGGACAATAATTTGCTGCATTTATTTTGCTCCAATTGAAACTGATTTAGCCCACATATATCATATATCATGTCATAACCAATATACATATGTCAAATGCATAAAATCCAATCATTCAGCTACACACGCATCGATTCATTCATGAAAAAAAGTATCACAGCTCACTGAATTCCGAATTTGTATATTTTATAAAATTCTAGTGATATTTATCAGCTATGTGACGCTTATTTCATGATATTCATATTGAAAGAAAAAATAAATGAAATATAGTTTTGTAATTCCACATTCATCTGCATTCCATCAGCATCATTCGCTGTTAGCGTTAACATCTTCTTTATTATCAACCTTGTTTATGGCACAATTTTATCTGTTTCCACACAATGTTCAATAACTATCTCTCTGTTTGCTTGTGCGTGTGTGTGTTTAAATATTTTTATAATAAATAAATGTATAATATATAAAGAACATAACAAACTAAAAGGTATGTACTTACATATATGTAGTTCCGTTTCATTTATAACAATATTTCTCTAGGCAATTGCTAAATTATCTGAAATATTACAGGATAAAAAAATATATTAAAATATATCAAAAATATGTATACATATTGAAATTGAAAATATAAATATAATAAACACTTAAATCGCACTTCAATTAAACACTTTATATAAATAAAATTAAACTAATTGTAAAAATATTTGAGCTTAGGCAGAGTTATGTTAACAGCTCTCTGCTCCTGATAACAGTTATAAAAAAATATTAAACATTTTCCGAGCAGCTCTCGAAAACTAATTAAGAAAACAAAGCTTAAAGTGCAGTTACTAAAAGAAAACGACTTTACAGTTTCTCTCTCAGACACACACACACATATTACGAACTTTAGCTGTTACGCCCCCAGCCAACACCCACACTCACGCACATGCACACGCACACAGAGGCGCGCGTTTACCTTGTGAATTGCACTGAAAGAAGCCAAGCACAGAATCCTGAAGAGCTTAAATGCCTTCAGGTAAGATAATAAATGTGCAGTCAAAGATACATACAAGTTGGCCAACAGGACGAGGCCAGGCGCAGACAACTGAAAGAGCAATGGCTGATTTTAGCTTTGGCATTTCGAAAAATCACGATGCACTAAATCCGCTTGAGCAAACAGATAGACGAAGCCCAGAACGAATATGTAGTACAACAGGAGTCAAGAGTCGTGAGTCCTGAGACCTGAGGCTCAAAGGAGCTGCCAGTTTCATTTGCGGAGTCTCGCGAGGATTTGCAGACACACGACGTTCGCATTTTTTTTCTCGTCTTCTTCGTTTTATCTACTTATTCCCCCTCTTTTTTTTTCGGTTGATACTTGTGAGATTTTTCTTTTTAAATACAAGTTAAGAGCGTTTTCCGCTGCATAACCATGTGTGTGTGTTGGAGTGTGTGTAAAAACATATATATACACACAAAACACACACAAAAACACACAGTTCAAGTTTAGAACAAACATTTTGTAGGTAAATAATGCTCCAAGAGCAAGCAAGAGTTACATTTTCGACTAGAGATACCCATTAAACATAGTATTGCAGTAAGTTAAGAATAACCTATATATATATATATATATATATATATATATATAGGGTTAAGAATTACCTAGACGCATATGCTGAAGTAGATTAATCGATTTTCGGTATAGTAACTTTACAGCTTTTAATAAAACGTTAATTAGTATAGAGAAAAAGAATCTATAAAACGCATTCGATACATAGAGAATTTGGATAGTGCCTGATATCATAAAGGGAAAATTGGTGTGCGTAACAGTCAATAAAATGCATATATAATCCCCGCAATTTACGCCGGTACCAAAAAGTATATTTAAGAGTTATCATAACCTTTTTAAGCGTTTAAATGTTTACAGGGTATACAAAGAAATTGTTTCATGCCAGCTCTAAGTAAAACTTAATGACGTAAAATATGGCAAAGTTGTGCCGAGCACTGTCCAAACCTGAAAAAGTGTATAAGTATATCTAGATATATATATATATATACTCTATAAAGTGCCCACTTTTGATCAGCTTCAACAACGCACTTGGGAGCAATCACTAAAAGGCGCAGTGCAAAAAACTATGCAACTTTTTTTTGGCTTCCCTTTGTTTTTGCCAGCTTTTTCTGCCGCTGATTTAGTGTGAAAGTTTTTGCTGGCTTTCCTTCAATGCTTCCTCTTGCTGTTCCTTAACTAGCATTAGGTGGCGCAGTTTGCAGTTGCTGGTGCCGCCCGCTGTGCGGCGCTTTTGTGCGATTTGTTGGCTCGTTGGTCAAGAAGTCTCTGGTATTTGCCAATAATCGTCAATATATCAAAAGTGTCTTATGTCTGCATTTGAAAAGTATTCAGCTTCAAAGTCTGTTGACTTTTCTTTTTTTCTTACTTTCATTCAGTTTTGCATGAAAGGTCAAACAAATTTGTGGCATTATTATTGCATTTCGCGCTCAGCTGAAAAAAGAAGCAGCTAAGTGGAAAATGAGGTGAAAGCAAATGCTAAAGTTTCACAAAACTTTTGGTTATGTTTACTAATATTCTCCTGGGGGTCTATGCATACGTGTAGAGAGAAAACTGTTCGCCTCAAAGAGCACACAAATAGCTTTTCAACATTTAAAATAAAATGCGTAACGAAGGTCACACGGTTTCTAGGTGACAGTTTATTATTAAGGGGTGCCAAGCTATAAATTAACTTGCGGTTCCCTCTCAGCACATGTCAATTGTTGGCTACCCTTCAGGCGTGTGTATGTGTGTGCAAGAGAGAGTTTGTTTCGCAAACTAATCAAAACAAAACTTAAGCAAGTGCCAAATGCATTTGAAATGTCTAGAGAAAAAAAGGAAGAAGACAAACACATTGCGGTTGGTCAGAAGAAGAATATGCAGCAGGAAACTTTATTCAATTCTATCAGCAACAACTGCATAATAATCATAAAACAAGAAACAAAATAAAAAAAGTGCAAGTGAAAACCAAAAGTGCACTTTAGAAACCCCCAAACACACACTAGAAGACACCCTCACCCTGCACACACATACCCGCAAATGCATAAAGTTTGTACCAGCTAAGAAAATCTGTAAACTGTACAACTGAAAATAGTGAATGAAAAAGCGCCAAAGCGCAAAATAATAACAACAACAATAAAAACGCCAGCGAACGAAACGAACGTTTTATAAGACTTTTTGACAGTTGTGCTCCCACGCACACACACACACACACTTGAACTAAATTTCCATTTTCATAACTGCAGCAAGGACAAGCTTTATGAAAGCGTTAAAAAAAGAAACGAAGAAACTTTACAACACTCGCGCACACACAATGCCTTGCATGATGTACAACAAATTTCAAATAATCTCTTTTTGTTTTCCAACACTCTACTTTGAACAAACACACAAACAACGCGACTCAACTCAACGCAACGCTATTCACCACACTCAACTCCCCACACACTCAAAACTGCGCGCTTGACATCGAATACGTTTTACGTTTCGGTTATATCCTTGTCACGTTTAGCTGTCCTGCGGGCTATAAAGTCTCTGGCAGCAGTTGCGTCAATGAGAACGAATGCCTGCTTTTCCCCTGCCGCAATGGGGGACGCTGTCGCGATCATCAGCCGCCCAAGAAGTATGAATGCCATTGTCCTTTGGGCTTCACCGGTATGCATTGTGAACTGGAGTTATTGGCCTCGGGGGTGTTGACACCATCCCGTGATTTTATTATTGCCCTGGTCCTCTGCCTCAGCACGCTGATACGTAAGTATAGACAAGCCACGTAAATGCATATATATCTATACGTGTATTTCGCGGCAAGCGGGTAAGCTGAGAAATATGCCTAAGTTTAGTTTGAGTAGCTTTAAGCAAATATACTTAGTATTAGAGTGGAAGTTGTCGAAGTAAGTACAGGCAAAATGTGCATGGCCGGAAATATGTATTTAACCTTTTAACCGAAATATATTCAAGCTAGCACGTATTTAATCGTTTAACAATCTACTTAACTCTTTGCTAAGCTTTCTTTTCTTTTTATTTATTTTGCATGGCCAAAAATATGGTATTTCACGTTTTAATCGAAATATATTTATTCAATTAAATATTATTTTATTTTTATATATTTTTTAATTTGTACTTTGATTTTTACCAAACTCTTATAAGTTAATTTATCGATACTTATCTATCGATTATTTTTCAATTATATTATTATTATTAAAATAAATGCTTATCGAGACCAATCGAATGGAATTCCTGTTGCACATACAGTTAACAAAGTTAAACTTGTGGCGGATTATCGATACTAATCGATATCTATCAACATTTATCGTTGTACATAAAGGCGAATAATGCATTAACTTCCACAACATCAGAACTTTAAGTGGCAATTATGCTATTTCTTCTTTTTATTTTCTGTTCCTGATTGCGTTCAATTTGTAAAACGCGCAGTTAAAAGCATTAAAGTAAAACTGACAATATATTATTTTTTTTTTGTATGGAGTTTATGTCATTTGAATATTTATGAAATCGCCGCGGCCTGGAAATTAATTAAGCCATACATTTACCAATTGGCCACACCCAAACGAGCTGCAGAAATTCTCCTTTCTGTTTTTTTTTTTTTTTTTTTGTACAGAGAGGCAAACATCAAAAGTCATTTCCGCAAATTACATGCGGCCGAGCGATGCACATAAATTAAAGTTTATTGAACGAACGAAGGCCAAAATAAATGGACAGCTCTTCCTTTTTTATCTGTTACTTGTGCTTCTTCTTCTTGTTACGGAATGTTAAGTTAAACTATGGAATGTAAAATTAAACATGTGGAGAGTGGCAGAAAAACCAAACACAAACCGAGAAATGCGAATTTGAGTAACACAATAATTGCAATTACGCGTCGTCCACTTTGGCCATTGCCAGCTGTTTGGCAAAAAGTTTGGTGTAACCAACCCACCGCCCCCCTCTCTTAACCTACACACAACCCCCCTTGACAGCCCACAGCAAATTACTTGAGAGGGGAGCAACTTCTACGGCTGCCTTGTCCAAATAAGTAGAAAAACTTTGCGCTGTGCAACAGATGCTGCAATATGCTCGCAGAAGACGCAGAGACAAAATTAGAAAACAGCATTGAAACAGCAGCCAAAAGGCGACAGAAGCTAAACGAAAAAAATATAAAGAAAACGAAACGAAACGAATGGAAACGGAAATAACAACAACAACGAAATGGCGGCATAAAGCGTGGACAAAAGCGCCGGCAGCAGCTCGATTTTGCCCTTTTGGCAAACAATTTTTGGCTGGCACTGTGGCAGTTACAGTTACAGCAAACTGTAGACAATGAGAGAGAGAGAGAGACAGAGAGAAAGAGAGAGACAGGAAGAGCGGGAAAGAGGGCTAGCGGGTTAGGCGGCAAGAGCTAGAGACTAAGGGAGAAAACTGGGACAATGTGCGCCATATTTGTTTGTACATTTTTTTGCCCTCTGCCAATGGGTATTACAATTTGGACACGATTTTTGCATACACCTATAAATATATAATATATGTTTATCGATAGTATAAATATATATATAGTATATATCCTGCAATCCACGTCTATCTAGGCATAACGAAATATTTAACATTTTTAAGCTTTTTTTAAAAGAAGGCTTCATAGGGCAGTTTTTCACGCGTTTTCCGAGCTTGGCCGTGGAACATTATATTCATCTAGAATTAGTATTTATTGAGTAATTATTTATTTTGTCCTGTGCTGAAAATGGAATTTTCATTTCCCATATCTCAGTAAGGGTATACAATCTTTTGATTTCCACAAATCTGAAATCTTTTTTCCCCAGTTTTCTTATTTTCCTATTATATTTGCTTCTTTTATTTTATTTATATATATATATATATTTTTTTGTTTTCAAAACAAGCGCGCGTGTGTTTTTTTCTATTTTGCTTATAGCACATTTTATGCAATTCCCTTTTCTTCCATTTGTTTTATTTTTTTGCGAGAATTTAATTAAGAGCCTTTTTGCAACTGTGAAGAGAGCGCAGATTTTATTTCGACTATTTCCGAGTAAAATTGCTTTAGTTAAATTCACCATTTAAATTACCTTTTTTTTTTTGTTGCATGCCCAACGAATACTTATTTAATTTAGTTCATATTGCAGTAGAGTCCTTTGGTAATTGGTTGTTGCATATGAAATAGCTAGATATTGAGTACAATTATGCACGAATTCGAACTAATCAAAATACCTTTTATTTTTCGCACAGTACTCGTTCTGGTATTTGTGGTCTACAATCGGCGCCGTGAGGCGCATATTAAATATCCCGGACCCGACGATGATGTGCGCGAGAATATTATCAATTACGATGATGAGGGCGGCGGCGAGGACGATATGACCGCCTTTGATATAACGCCATTGCAGATACCAATTGGTGGGCCCATGCCGCCTGAATTGGCACCCATGAAAATGCCAATTATGTGTAAGTACTTATTTCATATTTGTTGAAAAAGGCCAAGAAACAAAATATATATAACGAAGCTTTTAAGTATATTGATAATGAATTTTCGAAAAATGCTACAAAATATTGCAGAAAGCTTTTCACTAGCCGGAAATTACGATTTCAAAATAGTTTTTGTGATCAACATTTTTAAAAATTGATATTTCATTATGCTGAAAATTTGAGCATTAAAATAATGCATACGCCTTTGAAAATGTTCTTTAAATAAGTTTCTAATTTCCTTTAAACAATTATAAGACTATTTTCTAGACTCTAATTCCTGAATACCAATACCTCGTTTACCAACATTTGTTCACAATCTTTGCAGATCCCGTGATGACGCTTATGCCCGGCCAGGAGCCCAATGTGGGCGTGTTCATCGAGGAGCATAAAAAGCGAGCCGATGGCGATCCGAATGCTCCACCCTTCGATGATTTGCGCAATTATGCGTACGAGGGCGGCGGCAGCACAGCCGGTTCGCTTAGCTCATTGGCCTCAGGTGGGTTTTACAATTCTGATTAAGCATTCGATTAGCATTCGACTCTGAGCTCACCATGACTAGATTTGCACCCAATATTGCGGCAATATTCGACATAAATGCGTAGTGGCTGGTTTAGCTGCACCCCAAAAAGTACGCTACAAAGTAGTTCAAAACGTTGACAGTGCGCAGATTGCTATTTATTTTATTCCTTTTTTTGTTAAACTTACAGGCCAGCAACGCTCAAAAACCGACGAATATTGGGTGTAAAACTAAGTAAATACTAAAAATAACGAAAAATACATAGAATATATCAAAAATAATAACAGATAAATACTAAAACTCGAAAATGGTATTTATAAATATGTTAAATGCCGTGGAAATTGGTAGAGTAAAAATACTGAAAATACTAATACACTGAGCGAAATGCAATGAAATTAATGTATGGTATTTTGTGGACATATTTAAAGTGTTGTCAGAAAATATGGTGAAAATGCAGAAACTAATAGGTAGACCAAGCGAAACTTAATGCAATTAATGTAAGGTATTTTGTAAACACATTGAATGGGTTTTTAAAATACTGAAAGTACAATAAATACCGAAACACTGCAATTTAATTATGGTATTTCTGGACTAGCTTTCATGTGTTATTAAGAAATACTGAAAATACTAGATAAACTGACCAGAACACCATTAATATTGTAAAAATACTGGATACCAGATTTACTAACCGAAACGCCACGCCGCAAATGTACGGTATTTTTTGACATTTTGAATGTGGCAAATGAGAAGCTTGACATCTTTTAGTCAAGAAAATTTCTTATATAAAAATACAAGTGCTCTAAAGTACATAAAAAAAAGCATCAAAAATTAGGCATTTATTTCCCAATTTGCAATATTGAAATTCGCGTATTTAAACACTTTTTTTTTTAATATTTTTTGCTTACAGGCACCGATGATGAGCAGCAGGAATACGACTACCTCGGAGCCTGGGGTCCGCGTTTCGATAAGCTGGCCAACATGTATGGCCCGGAGGCGCCCAATCCGCATAACACCGAGCTCGAATTGTAAGTTTCCAGCCAAAAAGAAGACAAAGAAAGGAAAAGAAGCCCGAAACAGCAAACGCAGTTAAGTAGCCACAAAAGTTGCATTTAAAAATTCTACACGACAGTGGAGGTTAGGCAAAAATCATCGTAAAAGATTTTCCCGCTAACTCATACACAAACAAGCGCAACCAAAGAAACATGGCAAAACCCTAAGTTAGTGGAAAAAAAAAACAAAAACAAAAAGAGAAAACGATTGAAAACAAAAAAAAATATATATAAAACTAAACACATTTGACACGTAAAATGACATTTGTAAAAAATACTTCATCAGCATTTAAATTTAATAATTATTCTAATTAATTTACTAAGTGTGAAGAGAACGCAAAAAAACGAAGTTCGAAATCGCGTGAAGATTTTTTCGCAAAATTTTTAAGAATGGAATACGAAAAAACTAGAGTATTGAGCAAGGGGCGAGAGCATACCAAAGTTTAGATTAGGCGAGTGCATGAATTTCCATTTTGATAATTTGTGAAAATGGAAAAGAAATTGAATATATTTGTTGTGCATATTAATTTTAATTTGCGATAAATGTAACTATTATTATTTTAAGTCCAACATTCTTAAGTACTTTATATTTGGCAAGTCATTTAGGCCAAGCTAAATACGTTTAGTTTATTTTTAAATTTACACATAAATTGACTTAAATGAGTATTATATTATTTTGATTTCGTATTAATTTTTAAGATTTAAACTTAAAGAACATAATTAAACTTTATATAAATGAATACCCAAAGACTGTTTTCGTTCCATCATAACAAGTACATATACACAAGAAAAAAAACACATAAATATATACATATTTATATATACATATATAAATAAATTAAACGAAACACAACTTTTAACTGGCATTACAAGGGGCGTTACGTTGTGTATCAGCACAAGTAAACCTACAACTAAAACCAGAGAGATTCGAAATACACAAACTGAACCGTTCTGGCAAAACAATTTCTTTCAACAACAAGCGAAAAAATGAATGAAAAAAATACTCCTAAAACAAATGATATTCTAAAACAAATAAACAAAAAAATTAAGCTAAACACGAAGAAAGTAAAAATAAACACGTGTCTAGCTGAAGACAATTAAATGGGAAATGAGTAAAGAAAAAAAGCAGAAATTTACCTTTAGATGAACTTAGCGCAATTGATATAATTAAATGGAAATACTTAAAGAGTAAACGAAAAGAAAAACAAAAAAAGCATATATGATAAAGAAAAGTTTTTTACATTGTATATATTATTAGTTTTTAGCACGTAAAAAACAAACGTAATTAAATCATACGAAATTGGTAGCAGAACCTTAAAGTCTTATTAAGTCATTTAAACTAGAAATGAACGATTCAAATATAAAAACAACAGCATTCGACAAGCATGAATAAAAAATATATAAAAAACCACACACACACACACATTTCATATATAAATATATATATAAATATATATATATATAAATAAACATACTACTCGTACAAAAACAACAAAAACAAACCAACTGCATTTAAAACTAAACTTTTTCCACACGACAAAATACTGAGAAGGATACCGAGAACGGTTTTTTTTTTGGCCAGTTGCATTTTTATGTACTCTATTTATTTTCAGCCATTTTAGAGATCGTAAAGGCAATAAAGATTTGTCTGGCCAAAAAAAACCAAATGCGCAACTTTTTAGCCACAAGTTGAGCCACAGTTATGAGTGCAATTTAAAATAATAATATTCCAAATGTTTATTGTTTCATTTGTTGCACACAATATATCGTATATATACTCCATATATATACGAGATCCCACAATAGCATACTATGTAGTTATTATATATAGAAGAAGCAGAAAAAGAAAACAAACACAATCCAATTGGAAAGCCAGTTAGCTGCTGCAATACAAGTTGATTACTTTGTTGATTTTATGTGTGTTTTGTTTTTTTCGCATTGCAAAGTCAGCCAAGTTTAGCAATTGAAATGAAACCGTAAGTACATAAAAAAAAGAGAATACACTGCAACAAATCAAGTGCATGCATAAATCATAGAGTTTTCCAGGCAAAGTGCCCAAATTCCTAAAGCATAAAAGAAAAAAAATAGTTTGATTTATTTTACTTTTCCAAAAACTAAGCAACAAAAAATAAATATATACAAACGAAAACCTAAAGAAAACTGCAACAAGAGTTGACTATTGAAAAGTGCAAAGATTTTAACGTAATTGTTAAACCATACAGCGAAAAAATATTTAACAAATAAAAGTACATTAAATATTAAAATAAAACTGCAAATAAATGCAAAACTTGCTGTACTTGTTTAAAGTTCAACACAATTTTTAAAAGCACATTAACTGTTAAAAAATTATATACAACTTAAAACAATATAGAGTAAAGCCACACAGAAGATTGAAAGAGAGAGACAATTTGATATTGATGCGACTTCGATTCAATATTTTGCAAAGACTTCATTTCGATGCTTCAAAAAAGAAACATAAAAATAAATAAATTAATTAAACAGTACAGCAACAACAACACGTATAAACACTGCCAATTAAACAATATAATTTTCAAGAGACTTTCGAAACAAAAATAAAATTCAACGAAAATATTTTTGTTTTAAACTAAACGAAATTTGCATTTTGCTCATTTTGCTGACAACTTTAATTTGCTTTTTTCGGCAAAAGATTTAGTTCACATTTTTTGACTATATAGATTTGCATTTATGTGTATGTATAGGCGTATATTAATTACATTTTCTAATTACCAAGCACTTTCAGGCGATGCAGACAAAATATGAAAATAGTTACCAGAACGTACGATATTTTATATAAAAAAAAAAAAAAATAAAAATTACAAAAACAAGCAGCACAGCAGGATAGCAAGTTTTTGGGAAGAGGGCAAAGAAAAACATTATATATAATCATTTACACATATTTGTTATATATTTTGTAACGTAAGTTAGAAGGCATATACGAGTACATATACATACACATTTGCATACATGCATACATATAAATAAATAATGCACCCACACAAACACACACACACACACACACACACAGCTCTAGCATTCATCTAACCCAAATACACACACACTCAGACACACACACACAATGCGAGGCATCATACTATTTGATAACTATGTATTTATAATGTATGCATTTTTTACCAACAAAAACAAAAACAACAACAATAACTCTATAAAAAAAAGCGCATTCCCAATGAGTCAAATGAAATGGAAAACCAGAAAAGCAGAAAAACAGAAAACCAAAAACCGATTTCAAATGCAGTTTTAGATAAATTTGCATATAAGTACATTATTATGTAAAATCACTTAAATATACAGTAAAAATAAAATAAAAATAATACAAAATAAAAAAAAACGAGAAAATTAAAATTAAACAAATGGCAACTAGTATTAAAAAGAAAACAACAACAAAAATTTATGAATAAATTACGAGTAATATTAAAAAATACTAAACTGCAAAGCGAAACTAAAAAAAGAATAAATTACAAGTGCGCAACAAAATGCAATGCGAATTCCCTTGGCAATTGCAAACTACATGGAAAACAGAAAAACAGTTGAAAAAACAAAAATAAAATTATGTAAACTGTGGGAGAATGTGTAAGCTGACAGCAAGCTGAGAGAGCATGGGAAAACTTAAGTTAAGGCAAATTATACACACACACATATATACAAATACATACACACACACTCACACACATTTATACAGACAAGAAAAAACAACAACTGCAATTATATTAAACGAAAATTATTATAAAAGCAACAAAACGCAAAAAAAAAAAGAAATGAAAAACAGAAAATAAAATAAAACAAAAAAAGAACTAAATAAAGAATCTGTAACGTTATATGGAAAACAAATTTGCAAGCGCATTTTTCCTCAAATTTTCAGCGGCTTAAGTTATGTGCACAGGAATGCAGTTTTCTTGGTGCCGGCTGCAGTTCGTGCTTAAATGCGTAACACGAGTATGCATTAACAAGCAAGTAGGAGTGTTCTACTCGGGCTGCCCGACTAGGAGATACCCTGAACATTTTTCTACTAGCTATCTAATGAAACATACTTGATCTGCATATTCTTTTCCAGAAGCTACATGTCAAGTTTGGTGAGTTTAGCTCAAGATTTCGATATCGTTTTTATCGTTTACTTGAAAGCAGGACCAGTTATCGATTATTATCGGAAACAAACTCGGACACTAGGAGGACCTACGTTCCAAATTTCACTCCCTTATGGGGTCGTTGAAGCTTCACTTTGCCTAATACATACACTTGCACAAATACATTATACCCTTTTGACCATTTTCAATAGGTTCAGGGTATAAAATTAGACAAATTATTGCAAATAATGACACATATACACACATAATACAGTCTAGAGCGAAGAGGGATGCTCTAGAGATGGTTAACGTGACACAAAATTATTTGCTATGTTTTCTTCTTTAAGTTCATGAATTCCTGCTTTCAGCATTTCAGAGCAGCAAATTGTGCACCTAAATTATCTTAAACTAATATTTAATTTAAATTTAAGCAATTTTCACTCTTTGTTTGAGCTAAATAACAAGCTGCAGCAGGCTGTCATCTCAGGACAAAAAAGGAAAAACTTCACACAATCGGCGAATGCTTGAAAAAGAATCTGCTTAAAGTGCACTCAAAATAGAAAAAAAAAAAGAGGAAGAGGCAAACTAAATTTATTCACTTTGTACGCAATTTCATAAGCCAAAGCACTTAGGCAAAAAATGTCTAATATATTAGGAAAAACCAACAGCTACAAGAAATACTTGACAGCAGGGCAAAGATTGGGAGCATTTAACAACCTGCACTAAGCAGGCAAGCAAACAGGAGCATGTCCAAAAGGAGACAAGGAGCATAATCGAAACATGAACAAAGCTGCCTGCTCATAAAATTTGCTGTAGCCAAAATCAATACAATTTGCCACATGCCCCGAAGGGCGGACTAGGGCAATAGCTGGGATATATTTTCTTCTGCCCTCTTTTTTTTTTACTGCAAATGAGCAACGACAAAGTCCAGATAGTGCGTTGAGCGTTCGAAAATATTGGCAAGTTATTCGATAAGATGAACGAGCGAAGGGATTCATAAATATGCGAGCAGGCATAACATGAATAATAAACCTAAGAAGGTTCGAGGGCAGGTTGAAGCATAAGCTAATGGCTTAAAATGGATAAAAAATAAAAAAAATAGTTTCCGCAAATTGTGGGCTTAAAAAATTGTTGGCATATTATTCATTTGGCCGCGACGCACAACTTGTCGTATGCGCAATTTGTTAGCCGCCTTAAACAATTGCTCGAACGTGCCGGCAAGCACAACTGAATGGCATGAAATAGGACCAGGCGGGGGTTTAGTGGAATTCGGAGGGGTGAGTAACTGAAACGCGTAGACAAATGTTCAACAGGGAGCAATAATATTGTAAATTTGATGCTTCAATGGCGGCAAGAGACCGGAAGCGTTGCGTTTATTATATTTGTTTTGTGGCGGGATTTCACTACGCTTTACTTTTTTTCATTCCCACATAAAAATGCCAAAATGAAGTCGCACAGGACAAGAATCTTGCACAATAGCAACATTGTCGTTCTTGGCAAATTTAAAAAACAAAATAAAATAAAAAATAATGGAATAAGAAAAGTGAAAAACCCAACCGAAGAACCATATTTGTTGTGGAATTTTCTTGTGCCCGTAGCTAAAAAGATTTTTACATAGCACAATTTGCGGTCACAGTTGCTTGTTTCTTCTTCTTGCAGACAAGTCACATGTGCTTATGTGTGCGTGTGTGTGTGTGTGATTGCGTGCGCGTGTGTGCTTATATTTGTAGATGGTGTTGACTTTATTTGCTGATAGTGCAACAAACAAACGCCAAAGCAAAGGCAAACCAAATAAGGATTTAAGGTACATCTTATATGCTTCTCTGTTGATCCTGACCTCGGGCTGTTTAGCTGTCTATTGGCTTTCGCTTAGCTATACAGTATGCAATTCGCCAATAACTGCTGACAGGAATTACATAGATGGCATTGTTTAGACCCACAGCTGATAAAAGATTATAGACAGCATAAATATTTGCATATGGCTCGGGTGGAGTTTTCCCTTTGGTGAGTTGTGTAAAAATAAAAGTATTTTACTTTTAAATTTGAATTTAAAATTTTTGTGGAATATTTTTTATTTAATTGCTGATCAATATTCCTGGAACCTTTCGCTTTAAAATTTCGGCTTACGCATCCTATGTTTATTTTATTGAAATTATATTGACTGTGCGTTTTGTCAACACTGGCAAAAGTCAAAATGGAGTGTATTTGAATGTATTTTTATTGAAAGTTAAATACCATCTAATAAATGCAGTCATAAAATAGCATTCAGAGCAGAGAATGTTTCTTACTTTAATAATTTTTTAATGATTCAGACAAGTACAATTAAAAAGGGTTAATAAATTGTTAAATGTAGCAATTAACAGATATTGATCAACACTGAAAAGAGTCATTAAGCTCTATTAAAAGTAAATGAACCGCACACAAAATAACTTTAAGCTCAGGAATATGTTGCAATTTAATAATATTCCAGACAAGTTCCATTAAAAGGAGAAAAAACATTTAACTGACAGTTATCAGCTGACGTTTAGTTGACAAATTGAATACATTCTTATTGACACATTGCCACTCTTTATCTAAACCTCCTGTCTTTTAGCTTCCCCTTTAATAAACTCAATTCTATTTCTAGACAATGTGCACCCCAAAACAAAATCTCATCAAACGTAAATTCTATCATACCTAAAATGCTTGTCTGCGATGTTGTATGCTAGAAAACCGCCTACGGGATAAACACACATCATCTGGCTCTTCTTCTACTAACATATTTCAATATTTTGCCAACATGTCACATAGACGACATTCATTTCCTACCGTCAACACGCACAATTTGTCGCTTTCAACTGAAATGAAATGCTTCAAGACAACACGAGCATAACAAACACCAAATACAATTGCTACAACGAAACGGGTACGCGACTAGCCAATACCCTGTAGCAAGGCAAACGCTATATTTAAGATATGTATGTTCCTGAAAGCCAATCGAAAATCCTAATGACTGTCAGTAAGAAGAACTGTATCCTGCCAAAATGACAGAAAAGAAAATATCGATCTGCTCGATGAAAAAATACTTTAAAATTTAGATTTTAAAAGTTATTAAAAAATATAAATCAGCATTTGAAATAGGCTGGCTTTATTACTGAATTGTCAGCAACAATATTTTGAACGCAGTTTCTTTCACTTCAATATACCCAATTTATACATTATCAATTACAGGGTATAGGTAAATCGGTTCAAAAACGTAAAAGTGCACAAAATACTGCGCCGGAAAATCTTGTCAAACGAAAATACAAGTGAGAGCGTGGGTATCGATAAAGGATTTACCTATGCGACTAGGCGATACCCTGCAGAAAAGAAAAACAGTTGAGTTATGCGCATATTATAATTTGAGCTGTCGCTAGTTGAACCCATCAACCATATGCATGCAGGGTATATTGAAAAACGAAACATGTTGCAGCTCAAAAGTGAAAACCAGCAGCACAAACACCCACTCACCGACACAGCCTGAGCGAGAGCAGAGACAGTTATGGGATAGCTGGTTGCCTCAGGCAAGACCGCTTGGATAAGATACAAGAACAGCAAATGGGGCCGATGTTTAACTTGAGCAACGCACGGAAATACTTAAAAGCTTGGCAAAAGATGATACCGACGGCGGCCAGACACGAAAATTTCATTTGATTTGGGCCTTTTCAGATGAACCCAAAAGTTGAATAAGAACAATTTAAGCCGCAATCATGTT